TACCATTATTGATTTCCTTTCAGAGGTGAAGAAAGGTTAAGTAACTGGCCCTCAGAAACCCAGCTAATGATTGTAAGATGCTTCTAAGTGGCAGAGCTGGGAATCAAATTCAGCCTGGCAGATTTCAGAGCACACACACGTTCAGGTAAAAGGAGAGTATGGCGCAGGAGTTATGGGGACCCCGGTGCAGCAGCCACACCCCCCAGTCTACACCCTTCCTGCCACACCGCCTGTCTCTCCCTGCTGCTTCGTGCTCACCACACAGTCCAGTCTTTTGAGCACCGGCAGCCTTACTGCGTCTGCTCGTCCTCCCCCTGCCTGTGCTACCCTGCTCCACCTCCTCTGACTGGCAACATTAGTCATCATTCAAAGTACAGGTCTTTCTAACCGTGCAGCTCCCCACTCCAATACACACAACTCTAGGTAAAAGTCACTCGTCTGTCCCTGAATTTCCATCACACCTTGTTTTTATCTCTAGTAAGCATATTTACAATATTCTGAGTGATATTTAGTTATCAGTCTGTGCATTTGTTTCCATCAATAGACAGTGTGGGCCTTGAAAGCAGAGACTGTTTCAGTTATCTCTGTAACAAACAAAGTGGTATTTAATGGATGAAAGAACCTTTACTGGCCAACTAATTATAAGCTTTTATTTATATTAAAAAAATGTTTCTGAGTTATCATATCATACAAATTTGACAAATTTTCACCAAATATGAGAGTATGTTTAGAATTGTTATATTTATAACCTATGTAGCAGACATGAGATTAACTCTGAAGGGCACCAGGAGTGGGCATCCCAAAGAGTCATCTTTTAGGACAGCAAAAGCTATGATATAGTAAGAGACTCATGTAACTGCCAAGTAAGAGATATATCACATCCATTAACAGGGTGAGGACAAGAAAGCCAAATAAACAAGAGTCCTAGATTGAAATTCACAAGGGCTATGAATTGCAAATACTGATCCGAATCAGGCTACATCTCACAAGGTAACCCTGTTCAGCATGTTTAAGGGTGAGTAACAGCAGGGGTCTGTGTAGGAGGACTAATAATACTCTTGAGCAATTCTGGGCAAGCCAGCTAGTACAGCATAGAAAGATTAGCTCTGAGGTAATGCTGAGAAAATAAAGCTGTAGAGATTACAGTCAATTTTACAAATGCAAAAATACTATCCTTGGCTACCTTCCATTCAATTATGCACGTACTAAGGCTCCAGTATGCAAGAAAGTGGGCTAAGCCTCGCATGGAACCAAAATGAAGAGCCCTCGAGGAGCACATCTAATCCACAGGAGAACACAACCCACTTCTAGCAGGAGGCTGTACGAGGGATTCCCCTCCTCAGCCAGTGGGATTGGACTAAGTGGCCTTAAAGTCAGTCTCTTTCTTGATGACGAGTTTATGATTCCCATGATTTAAAGGCATTATTATACTGTAATCCATATTGTGAGCGTTAAGATACTTCTGAAATAGCAGTGTCAATACAGAAGAATATTAGCTCTTAGTCTTTTTATTTTGAAAAATTATTTTACTTTTTCAATTTGTTCATATTCACTATAATTTTAAGTTTTGTTTGAGCTTTAAAAAATAAAAGTTAAATAATAATTAATTTTTTTTTTTAGAGAGAGAGTATAAACATTGTTTTTTTTAGTTGAGAGAGCATAAACAGAACATTCTCCTGAAGGTATTAAAATGCAGAAATACACTTAAATTTAATTAAAATACTTTTTAAATACAACATAGAAACACTTTTTAACATCTATTTTTGTGGTCTTTTTCATAATTAACATTAAAAATATGCCTAATCACTGCACTGTACACCTGAAACTAACATAAAATAATATTGAATGTCAACTATTTATATAT